TTGAAATTAAAGGAACAAACTTCTAGGCTAATTGAAACCACTAATTTATTCCACTAATTTCGACGTTCTGAATGAAGCTTTATAGTTAATAATACGTTTACTTAAAATTTTGGAATGATGAAGCACTTATGTTTATCAGTGTCACAATATTACAGAAATTCCCCTATCTGTAAATAATATTGTACTACTATAACTTTATCGGCAAGAGGTTCTATCAATGAAACAGTTTTAAATTAATCACATTGAAAGTAATTTATTACTAAACAATTACTTAAGAATTTTTATTTTTCACATTCTATCTACTTCTTTCATTACATTAATACGCATATAGCGCTTCAGAGCGTAACACACTAACTTAATTGACTCACTCTATGGGGTTTGATTTAATTACCTTTGATTATTACCGCTAAACACAAGTAGACAAGGTATTTTATAATTATTTCTAATTGCACGTAAGGCGCAAATTCTAAGAAACCATAAATTCGATTTTTTTCTTTTGATTGACTTGATTATTTTATTTCAAAAAATCTTTATTAAAAATTTACATTAGAATAACTAAAATTTGTTCAGTGATAGATAATTCAAGAACCACTATACCGGGTGCGTAACAAAAGAGGCTCACCCCTGTAACTTTTTTATTTTTTTTAGTTAAGAAAACGAGAATTAGAATTATTTTTTCGTATATAACATAAATTAGGAATGATTTCCTTCCTGTTTCACCGGAAATGACTACAGCTTTTGATTTTTAAATGGCATCCTCGGTATATTTCTACTTTATTCGATAGAAAATGATACTCTGAATTGAATGACATATCATACGTCAACTTTTGACATTTTCTCATATGGTTTATTTGAAATTGTAACATGCAGTTCATAACAATTTGACTCGAAATACCAAATGTGTGGTACCAAATTATTCGTATAAAAATGTTTTTTCCAAAAATGCTAACGAGCCACCCTTATTCCTTTTGAAAATATTGAGATATGATTAAAAATATGATTTAGGCATCTTTTAAGCGGTCAGGATAAGACACGAAAAACATTCGAGGATCAAATCTATTTTTCCAAGGCTCCTTGATTAAAAGTTAGTGTTTTTAACACAGCCATGGTACTCTAGATTGAAATTTAAAATAAGATCAGAAAATGTCAAAAGTTGACATATGATATGTCACTCTATTCAGAGTCTCCCATTTCCTATCGAATAAAGTAGAAATATACCGAAGGTGCGATTTAAAAATCAAAAGTTGTCATCATTTCCGGTGAAACAGGAAGTGACCAAAACCAATTGAATACGTCCAATCAATCCTACTTTATATCATATACTAACATACCAAATCTGTTTTTTTTTTTCTTGAAAAACAAAAGTTATAGGGGTGAGCCACTTTTGAGGCGCACCCGGTATAGTAAAGCTTCATTCATTACCTCAAATCGAAATGTAAACAAAAATAGAGAGAACAAATTCAACTCAGTTCATCTCAATTATTCCATATCTTTCTGCAAATCAGTCATCCGTACCACAAGATTGTAAAAAACTCTTATTTCACTTAAATTCACTCCCGGCGCCACAGTGGGGTATTTGACACAGATAATTGATCGAAATTTTTTTATGTAGACCTATTTTCAATTAAAGAGGAAATAATATGAACAAAATAAATGATAATTTGTCGATTCTAAAAAAAAATAAAGAAAAATCACTGTTCCAGTGTTTCCACGGTCAATGCCACTAATGCCAGTAGTAATATCGCAACTAATACTACTAATGCTACGACTGATCCACTGATCCGCGAGCAATCCCCATACCACTAGAGTCGCTACTAATGCCAAATTGTGCTATGCTGCTAATGGCACTAATGCGATCGCTTTGTACACAACAATGCCATCGCGGTTTACACCTCGCATTAGTATATCACTGATTGGCAAATTAGAGGAAACCAAGAATGTTTTTCTCATTTTATCAGCAAAGTCGCAAAAATCGCAGTATTTTATTTTACTGTATGAAAGTCCAATGTTTACTAAGTAAAACGTATATAGACAATATGCTGAATTCTTCGAAATGCGCAACTAAAGCTCTAAGTATAATAAAAATGTCACAAATTTAATCAAATTTTCTGAACGTCTAACTTTTAGTTGCAAAAAAATCGTTAGTATAGAGAATATCAAAATAAATAATACGTTTTTGTAGAATAGATACCTGCAGCTTGCTGAGCCATTTTCAATCAAAACAATAATATAAACGTAAAAAGAGCACAAGAACAAAAACAATTTATAATTTTAAACATAAAATTTAGCCATTTACCTCTTATCTGTGAGAAGTAACAACTTTGACGTTTCGTTGAAACAAATGAATGCAACTAAACACACCCAGGGCAACGCCATTCATGGCAGACATGATTTAACTTATCATTTATCTTTTTTTGGGAAATCTTAAACACATTTGCTTTTTCGAATTTCGATCACCTTTTTCATGCTAGTACCCCACCGTGAGGCGTTACGGAGTTATCTATGTCAGCTAGTCTAAATAAATTTAGAAATTTTATTCCTTTCTTTGCAGAAAATTACCATCGGAAGACACCTATATAACGACATATATCTGAAAATGTTCACGAAAGGGACTAATTCACATATTCACCTGATACCAACGCTCTGCACAATTCTGCTTTTCAACTACTTCACGCCGAGCATCTTCGTGTTAACTGCACCAAACCACAAGTTACCCGAAAACATCGATTCCAAACAAGAGTTTGAAGATGCCCTAGAAAATTTTCTCAGCGTGTATTACGACGAGTTGATATCACAGAAACCCAACGAAAATCATTTAGAAATGATCAAGAAGTTTGATCGAAATCGTCACAGAAGCAAAAATATCGATGGTGAAGGGTTAGGAAGCCAAGAAGTATCGGGTAATTCTCAAAATAACAGTGCCAATGTGAAGAACAAGCAATCTGGTGATGATGTTGGAGTGGATATATATGATCAGATGCAAGGAGATCAACCTGTCAATGACTATCCCAAAGTTACCAGCGAAGAAGTTACCAAAACAAGGGAAAGGTCAGTATAATTTTTTTTTCTAATCAATTTATTAGACCATTAGAGAATATATTTTTTCTACAGTTACCAAAAAGGTTAAACCAAATACCAGTTATTGGGGAGCAAAAAAAACAACTAAAACACGAATGTAATACCTACAACGTTTTATCCACACATGTATATACAGGGTGAGCTGGTAGATCTCGATAAAAGAAACATACAGGGTAGCCCACCGAAAACGTTCCGCAAGGCATAACAGCCAGAGTATTTTTTTTCAGAAAATTCAAAAACACGTCGATTTTGTTTGCGAGGGGGACAACTTTTGTCCCAAAAATGATTGCAAAAACTTCAACCCTCTAAGCGGGGGTGTCATCCCCCATTTTTTTCAAATGGGCAGGGGGTTCAAGTGGTACCGCAATGAAAAGGGCTTTCTATTCTCTATACTTTCCCGCTTCGTTTTTGAAAATCGGTCGAGTCATTGAGAAAATATGAAGGATTGAAATTTGAAAAGTTTATTTAAACATTTATCAGAGTAAATGATAAGGATAAATTCCTTCGACCAATTTGCTGTTTTTTCTTGTTATTCCTAGATGTTTACGCATTTTTTCACTTGCCACAAGGTTGGACGATCAGGTGCGGTAGTTGCTAGATACCTGTTCTGTGACTTGTGCGTTGAAGTTCTTCTCAATATTGTTAAACTTTTTAACAATTATGACGTACTCACGTGCAGAAAAAGTGGGAATAAGTTCTACCCGTACAAAATTCAGTTGGTACAAGAACTCAACAAAGACGATTTTGATCGTCGCTTGCAATTTTCTATCAATCTATCTATCTATCTATGTTTTATAGATTTAACAAAGGCCTTTGATAGAGTCCAACTAAAAGACATCATCACCATCTTGGAAAGCAGTAATGTCTCGAAAGAACTCACAGAACTTATCAAGGACTTAAACACAAACACAACAACCCAAATAAGAACAAACTTTACCTTAACGCAGCACCTTCGAACTACAACTGGTATTCGCCAAGGCGACAGTCTTAGCTCTCTGTTATTCAACATAATCATGGATCAAGTAATAAAAACCGTCAAGAATACTGGATTAGGATATCGAATGGGAATGCATAAAGTAAACATATTATGCTATGCCGATGACGCAGTACTTATTGCAGAGTCAGAGGACGACCTCCAAAGAATGCTACAAGCTTTTAACAGACAGGCAGAAAAACTTAACATGGAAATTTCCACAAATAAGACCAAATGCATGACCATTACAAAGGAGCCTTTACGGTGCAAATTGGTAATAAAAAACAAAACTATTGATCAGATAATGTTATTCGAATACCTCGGATGCAAAATTACAAGCTCAGGATTCCTGGAAGAAGAAGTAAGGAAACAAGCCAATAAAGCTGCCGCAATATCAGGACATCTTAAATATCCCATATGGAAAAACAAACATTTGAGTACAGAATGTAAGTCAAGAATATACAAAACCTGCATACGACAGTGATGACATATGGTGCGGAAACCAGAACTGAAACATCAGTAACAAAGAGAATCCTACGAACTACTGAAATGAAGACCTTAAGAATGATAACTGGATACACATTGAGGGACAGACAGAGAAATGTAGACATAAGAGAAAAGTGCCAAACAAACGACGTTGTCAGATGGATAAGGCAGAGAAGAAGAGAATGGAACCAGCATGTCAATAGAATGGGCCCCGACAGAATGGCCATAATAATTCGCAACAACGTACCCCATGGCAGAAGACCTACTGGACAACCACCTAAACGTTGGCAAGACAGTTGGCAGTCAACCTCGCAAGAGTTGCTTAGACGAGTTGGAAACCGGAACTAAACAGGCGATACGCCTTCTAAAAGAAGAAGAAGAAGCTTGCAATTTTGCGAAACTATGAGTGAACGAGCGGCGAATGATAATAATTTCCTAATTAATGTGTGTTTTTCGGATGAGCGTGCTTTCTTTTTGAACGGTGTAGTTAATCGGCACAACTGTCGGTACTGGGCTGAGGACAACCCCAGGGTTTTTCACGAGGTGCACACACAAAACCCTCAGAAATTGAACGTATGGGCTGGTATTTTTGGAAATTCTATTTTGGGCCTAGAAATCTAACAGGTGATATGTACTTGGATTTACTGGAAAATACCATCGACCCAGCCCAAACTGACATCATAGAGAACAATCCTGGATACGTTGAAGCCGAACTAATATTTCAACAAGACGGTGCACCTCCACATCACTCTCAAAATGTGCGTAATTATTTAAATAATGACTTTCCCGGTCGGTGGATAGGACGAAGGGGTGCAATTGAGTGGCCTCCCCGGTCACCCGACATGACTCCTTTAAACTTTTTTTCTCTGGGGACAAATAAAAAGTAAAGTGTATAGCACTAGTAACCTAACCCGCCTCATTAGAAGACCTGCGAAGACGAATTATTGATGTTGGTCGCGAAGTGACCCCGCAAGTTCTTCAGAATGTTCGAGAACGGTTTGAAAATAATTTGTATTACTGTATGTCGTTTTTCAGCTATTCAAGTTCAAAATAATTGCATCCCTTTTAGTCATGGTATTGGTAATATCAGAGATTAACAAATTATACCGTGGGAAAACTTGTGGTGGACAGGCAGTTCTAAAAAGTTTTCTAAAATATACAGGAAAATTTAAAAGAAAATGTACGATTTTCGACGTCTTTTTTGGCGAAAAACACCTAATAGACGTGTTCCTGCGGTCGAAATATACCACTCCTGAAAATATTTGCCCTTATTTACGACTCGCCCTGTATATATTTAGTTAAAATTATAAAAAATTTACAGGAAAAATTAGCAGCAAGCAATATAGCGTTGTTTGTTATGGTAACTATGCTATTTAAGTTTCTATATAAAAATTTAAAAAAATTAAAAATGATGTAATTAAAATACAGGGTTGTTCACTACATACGACACGGAGTATTGTAGCTAAACGATGAGGTTTTTACAAATTGTAAGTTTTGGGTTCGATGAAGGACTATTAGAGGTACAATTTAAAAATAATTTTACAGGATACAGAGTGTCCCAAACAAGTGAAAAATATCAAAGTTGTATTTTTTTAAACGGAACACCCTGTATATTATTACATTTTTAGTTTCTACGATTAAAATAAAGGTAAATTTGATTAGGGTTTATTATACTTAAACTTTACCGTTTTTGAAATATTTTCAATTTTGTGAAATTGCAGTAAAAAATTTAAGGCTTCATTTCTCCAAGGGCATTAAAATTTTTAATACGAAATATTTACTGAAGTTTATTTATTGATCAGTTATTGTGTTGCAATAATAAAAATAATACTACCTTATACAGAGTGTCTAAAATTTATTTTAAATAATTATCAGCTTCAAACGGCAATAACGTGTTTAATTTAAATGGAACACCATGTATATTTTACGAGAATTAGATGCTCAATTTAATTTTCTATCAAATTGTATTATACCATTTTTTACCTATCTCTTTAAGTTTCCGTAGAAAATGCATGTTCTTGTAATTTAGAACTTATTTATCAATATACCCATGGAATATTGACATTTTAGATTATTTTTAAAGATGTACCAAATTTTTAAAGAGTACAGATACTAATATTGTCGATATAATTTGGTTATTTCACTAAAAAATAAAAAAACTGTTTAAATATTTGTTACAGAGAACCAATTAATATGATTCTAGTATTCAAACTACATTAACTGACTGTTTGCGTTGATTAATAATAATTGCCCCAAATACTAAAAAACTGTGTTTTGTATATGTATTTGACGGTGTGGTAAAAATTAACACCTTAAAATGATATTTCATTTTTTAATAAATGCTTATTTATAACAACAGAGACTTTAATTGTGAAAACTTGTTATTATATTGATTTCTGACTCAAATCCACATTTATTTAGAATAATTTATTAACGAACACAATTAAGTATGTAATTAATTAGTATATGGGCGGAAATAATGGTGTTATATTTAATTAATGGTATACTCTTTTATAAAGATTTAAATAGTTTGCTTTCTGCATACAAATGGGCTAGTAATATTATCGTTTTGCTAAAAACGATAATATTACTAGCCTGTACATTTTGTACATTTGTTGCTTTAAAAACAATCTCAAATGTCAATATTCCATGGGTATATCGATAAATGAGGTCTAAATTATAAGAAAATGCATTTTCTACGAAAACTTGCAGGGATAGGTAAAAAATGGTATAATACAATTTGATAGACAATTAAATTGTGCATCTGATTCTCCTAAAATATACAGGGCATTCTATTTAAATTTAAAGAAGTTATTGGCGTTTAAAGCTAGAAATTATTTAAAATAAATTTTAGACACTCTGTATAAGGTAGTATTATTTTTATTATTGCAACACAATAACTGATCAATAAATAAACTTCAGTAAATATTTAGTATTAAAACTTTGATACCCTTGGAGAAATGAAGCCTTAACATTTTTACTGCAATTTCACAAAATTGAAAATATTTCAAAAACAGGTTTTAAGTATAATAAACCCTAATCAAATTTACCTTTATTTTAATCGTAGAAACTAAAATGTAATAATATACAAGGTGTTCCATTTAAAAAAAAACAACTTTGATATTTTTTACTTATTTGGGACACTCTGTATCTTGTAAAATTATTTTTAAATTGTACCTCTAATAGTCCTTCATCGAACCCAAAACTTGAAATTTGTAAAAATGTAATCGTTTAGCTACAATACTCCGTGTCGTATGTGGTGAACAACCCTGTATATCGTAATAGTAAATGTGTCAAAAACGTGTATAGTTTTTATGATCACCGTATACTATTACATGCGAAACATTTAATAAGAATCTTACGACAGATATATCTAGTACACGTATGAAATAGCGGTGAGGGTATTTATATACCGAATGGTATTCTAAAAATGTCCCGTTTATGTCGTCTAAAAAATCTCTAACTTTTCTGTATTCTATTAAAAGAAACTGTACATAATAAGAATATATAAGTAAAAATACATAAGTGTTAAAATATATATTAAACAAAATTATTCATCAAAAAATTTTCGTAAACGTCAGAAAAGTATTAATTTTTGCGACGTGATTGACTATATAATAAAGCCATTTTAACGCCTAAGCACAAAAGTACAAAAATATATTATTAAACTGACATAAAGTGTCAAATTCTACGAGTGTAACCATAGTTTTTCGATACATAATTACTTACAAGGTATTACTATATCTTTTTATATTATTTGCAACGTTTGAAATTGATTAAAAAATTATTTGACTTTTAAAAAAAAATAGCCTGTTCTATTCGGAGCAAAAATTACTTTTTGTGCATCGCCTGTAATATGAAAAAGTATCATTTTTACTCTTAATAAAACAATATTCAGTTTTTTTAAACGGACTATTTTAGTCAAGTTAACTTAAATATATCCTAGTTCTATTTACCACCTCCATCGAGGCATTTTCTGTGTTTTTTTTGCTGGAGATATTTTTAATACTATATAAAAAATAAGATTTAATAATAAAAGTCTAAATATAAGCTGGGAGGTTTATATTTGATCTGAGTTGAGAAAAATGTATTTTTAAACCAACCCAAAAATTCTTTCACAATCAAAATTATTTTTAAGTTGGTCAAAAAACCAGAAAAATTTAAGAAAAAATAATTTTTTGAGTCTTGTTTTCCCATTCCAGATTTTTAAATATTTAATATTTAAGGTTCCTGCACTTTTTTGTGTTTTTATTATATTATTTTTCTTTTCAGTTTAGTTCCGTAATTGTTTTCTTCTTTAAAATTACATTTATTATTTTTATTTTTGTATTTAGTTTTTTGTAGTTATTAAAACTAAAATGTTAAATTTTCTAGAAAATATATGAAATTAAATTTAAGAATAATACAGAAACAATTTTTAATTTTTTTTTAGTTTTTAGTTAAAAAACATAATTTGTTGATAATAAGGCAACATAGGTAGTAGATTAAATTTACAGGAAAGAAAATCCAGAAAAGATCCAGTGTTCCTCCTTCTGGAAATTTTCAAAGTAAAATAAGTCAGTTATTTTGGACTTATTTGAAAAACGGTGAAGAGAAAATATGTTTCTTTTATCGAGATCTACCAGCCCTGAAAATATTTGCACTTATTTAAGGCTCACCCTGTATAGTCTTGTTCTTATTAACTGTTAGCCATGAACTGTTAGCCAGCATTTTATAAATTTCACATGATCGGATGATCATATGACAATATTTTTAAATCAGCTGACCCATAAAATACAAATCTTACATCGTAATTAGGTACAGATTCTCTCAATAATACACTAATATTATTTTATTTTTAAGACTAACTAAGAGAGATGTAGACGAAAGGTAAATATTAAGGTTTTGAGTTATGATTTTTACAGTTTTTATATTTAATTTTGTATGGAGAAAGAAAAACACATGAAAGATTTACTAATTTTTTTATTTTGAATGAAAACAATGATAGAGTAAATTTTTCTGATAAAATCTTTCGTTTGTTTTTTTCTTGTACCAAACAAACTAACAAAATAAATTTCATTAATAAAAGAGTTATTGTTGATGCTTTGTTGAAACTAACAAGACAGATTGTTTTTCATTTGAGTGTGTTGTGATTTATAACAACAAATTTATTTAACAAGTTATTACAACACGTATTTTGATAATGCCTCAGTTCATTCATTCACCGGAAAAAATCTTATCGGCTTTTAAAACGAAAATTTGGGTTAAACACTCTATCAATCAATTTCTCAGATAGTATAGACAAAATAGTATTAATCATACTATAAGCTGGTAAACAATTTTCAACTTGACCTGCCCAAGTTACGAAAAATAAGCACCAGATTAGGTTAAAAAGTTATCTACATTCTTTCTTATTGGTTTTGGTAGTTATATCATTAATATTTGTATAATTAAAAAACGGAGTTGCTTAAAAATGCTTAGAAAAGCTGAACAAATTAAGAGTCTATTACGCTGTACTGTTCGGGTCGCTCTCAAGGGTCGGGTAAAGCGGGTTGCAAACACACGTGCTTTGATTAAGACTTGATTAAGATTTGCAGAGCTTCAGCATTTGCCATAAAATAGCGAGCGATTTGTTACAAATCCATATAAATTATATATCACTGTAATCACAAAACTTCAATCCTTTTCCGTATTGTAACGGAATTCTAAATTATGTTTTTATTTTTCGAGAAAATTTAGTCCAAACTCAAGGAATATTTTGTTGATGTTTGACCATGAAAATCTTAAAAATAAAGAAGTTGTCTAAAAATGTGCTACGATACTGATTTAGTATAATTCTTTATCTTTAATTTCCTTCTTAAAGGCAGGCGGCCACTGCAAGCGAAACTAAACTAAGCCAAGCGAAGATAAGATTTGTAAAAATCAGCTCCCATACTTTTAAATGCATCAGCGGCCACTTGAGCGAAACTAAACGAAAATATATGAACGAAGATTCAAATCGTAATTTAGTTTCGCTCGTTTTAGTTCGTGACAGGTTCCAGCAAATGTTTTGCAGCGATTAGTTCTATGATAACATAGATACAATACGAAAACGCAGCTAACTTAGCTGACTACTGAGCGAAAATCGTTCCCAGTGGCCGATGAAGCTTATTTTCGTTTAGTTACCGTTTCTTTCTATAAAGGCAGGCGGCCACTGCGAGCGTAACTAAACTAAGCTAAGAATATAAAAACAAAGAGGAAAAGAAACAACAAGGAGCTGATTTTTACAAATCTTATCTTCGCTTGGCTTAGTTTAGTTTCGCTCGCAGTGGCCGCCTGCCTTAATTCGTGTAAAAATACCTAGCCAGTTTTACATAAAACGTTAAATGCCGAACGCTTATTTTGCTACTTTTTCGAATTAGTAAAATGGACTCTTAAGCAAAGAAAATAAAGGCCTTTGAGTGCCAGCCCACCAAGGCATAGATGGTAATGAAGGAGCAAACGATCTAGCTGGAAAATTTTCTCTCGCGGAATATTAGGACACCCTGTATATTTTTTCCAAAAATCATTCTGAAAATTTCTCGATCTTGTTCAACCTTGAGACCGGCAGCCGTACAGCTGGTGAATTTCAGGAAACGTTTTACATTTTCAACAATAATCACTATAGGCAATTATCTCGCCGCCAACTGTGTAGTAATTTGTACACCTGTGCAGCGGACATGAAAGGAAACCGTCCGCGGGCGCGGAAAATAGTTTTTCGCATTTTTTCCCGGGCACCCCTCGCCCCCCCTGACCGAGCGGCGCAAATCGCCGCGCGACTGTTTTTTTTTTCGCAAAAATACGCTGGCAAAAGTCAGAGGCCACTGCGATGAAGTGGGTGTTTTTCAATCAATTGCGCGTATTTAGTCTGTTGTACACCTGGACCCTAAAGTCCGATCCACACGTAAAGCTTTGCCGTACGACTTATCGGTTCAAAAACATTTTTTTTAGTTACCGTGAAAATATCGTTCACGTTGAAGAAAAAAAATTGGCGCCGTGAGGCACGTATAATAGCCGCCCATTCTAAAATATGTTAATAAAAAGTTGGTAGGCAGTTCTTTTAGTTTCAAAGTAAAGGAATTTTTCCATTTTTTTTTATCTCAAAGACTTTGACTGATTTTGATGTTATTACAAATTTTGTTGCAAATACCTGTTATTCCTAATCTTAATTTGAAAACCGCGTTTCGCTAGCTACTGTAATTTTGGAGTTACGATTTTTTAAAATTTTTAACCCTTTCCCATACACCCTTACAAACCCCCCACCCTCACCAAAAACTAATGGCCAGATTCTCGGGTGCCACAGTATTTTTGTGCCCAATTTGGTTAAAATCGGTTCAGCGGTTTTTGAGTTATCGTGTTACAGACGGATAGACAGACGGACAGACAGACAGACAGACAGACACCACGAAAATATTTTGTATCTAGGTACTCAATAACTCATTTTGGGTGAAATTAAAAAAACTTTTTTTTGCCGATCTTAATATCTACCGACTTAATGCCGAATGCCGACCATACCGACAGGTATGGCCATACCGTCAGGTATGGTAGGCTAAAAATAGGATAGGTTGAGTATAGGATAGGCTTTACAAGGATATTTTATGTTTTTCCATTATTATTCCATTATTTCGTGATAAAATATATAAAAAAAAATGTCGAATGTCGAAGTTAACATCTGCGATTTGAAATTGAATTTTATAACTTAATAACTTTCAAACGCTTCGGTTAAATGAAAAACCATATCAGACCTTTTTTGAAGACCGGTCAGTTTTCCACAAGAATATGTATGGATTTTTACAATACGCTAATTTGTCAAAACCAAATACGTTTTAATAAAATATACGGAGAGTACCGCTTAAATTCCTGTCCCGATGTTGAAGGATGGCTATAGAATGTCAATGCATTTCCCACATAAGTCTATCCTTGTTCGGGAGGAGGTTTTCTGCGCTTGCTCGATCTGTAAGCACTTTGATTGGACAGTTCCAAATCATATGGTATGTTTTGTTTTGGTTTTATTTATTTTAAGTTGAGGTTAAAGACGTTCTAATAATTGAATTAAATCTTTCGAAAAATTGGAAGTTTTTTGTTAAATATTCTGAAATCAAATAAGTTTGATAATGTAACATTATGCGCATATTTATCAATTGAGATATTTTAATCGTATCCAACATGTTATGGCAAAACACTTTTTCAACCAAAAGTTTTCAGATATCTTCGATTTAGTTATTTTCGAATGTTTATTTTGTTTATATCTATTACAAACTCAAGGAGCAACAGTTTTTACAAGTAGTGTTAATTTTGATGCTGGTGCAATACTTCTACTCGTTAAAATAAGTTTATTATAAATATTACAGACATTTAAAAAAATAGGCTATGGAATAGGTATATAAAAATTATTTTATATCTGTCTCACAATGGGGCTCCTAGTAGCGTAATAGGTATCTGCAGTGCGATTCTGTAAACATTTCCCTGTCTAGTGACTCATCAATCGTATACAAATAGCATAGGCTCGATAGGAAATTTCTTGCTACAGAGCTTACAGAATCCCATTGCTGATTTCTAAAATTCTTTTTCTAGATAGGCTTCCCGCATCGTAAAAACTCCTATTTTATGGTATGTAATTAGTATTCTGAAGGTATTAAAATATTTTAATATCAATATAGTTTTTTCACTGAAACTCGAGTTAAATCTTAATATACATTATTCATATTGTCGTTTTAGAGATTGTGCTTTTATACTTACTATTATGAAAATTTACTGAATAAAATATATAGTTGCAATCCTTTTACTGAACTCCTTAATTTCTTGTTTTATGAGGGGATAATTTTTGCTTATTTAGGTACTAATTTTAATCAGACCATTTTTTAATGAACTCATTTATATTTATATCATATCGTTCTAAGTAGACTTTGTTGTGTTAGACAATTATTATTAAATAAAACGAATGAAAAAAAGTGACAGGTACGATATTTTTTTTTTAAATTCAAAAAATAATTTAGTAAAACCACAATTATTAAGAAATTGTCTTAAAAACTTCGTAGTACAAATTGCATATCTATTTCACTTTTTTTAAAATTCAAAAAATAATTTAGTAAAACCTCAATTAAGGAACTGTCTTAAGAACTTAGTATTACAAATTGCATATCTATTTCACTCGACTTAAAAATTGCAGCAAAACAAAGTATAACAGTACATTTTTTACTGTCTATTGTTTCTTTTACTGCCCATGTATTTTGATCAATAATCAACATCAGTCCTGGTTTAAAATGAAACAAAAGTAATTCTTTATTATTAACATATTTTTTATTAAACAAATATAACTAAAAGTATGTACATATTAAGTTTATACATAAATCAAGCTAGATACAAAAAATATAATTATTTACATTGTTGCATTGTAAATACTCTTTTATATTATGAAAAAAAAACAATAATAATTTACAATAAGACAGTTTGTGTGAACTGTGTAAGCATTATAATTAGCCTTATGTAGTCTCTATTTTTAGTCTTTACATTATAATGTCATTTTTATTTTAAAATAGTAAGACTAAATATAATGCTTTTAACAATTATTGATTTTTGAATAAAATTAGTTTCGTATATTTTTGTCTTATATTAACATCCCTTTCATTTCTGATTTTGCTTTCATGAAACAAACGAACATCGAGAAAAATTTCTATTATTAATTTGGTTAGTTGGCTTCTACCACACAAAAAGCAGTAGCCCATTCGCATTGTTCTATTAATTAAACTACAGCAAAAGTCTTTAAAACTAAATCACAAAATTGTCAATAAACGCACAAAGATTAAAATACAAACGAAAACACAGTACACGTGGAAAACACAGAAAGTTAGAGAAAACACTAATGGCGACTG